GAGATCTGAGCAGCAGCAGCTGCACTGCTGGTGCCTCGAGGATGCTTGCCAAGATGGAGATTTCTGAGGGACAGCTCTTGTGGTGTTTGAAATAAGGCAATCATCTCCCCTCTGAATCCCCAGCAGGCTGTTGGAGCACAAGAAGAGCAGCTGTTACGTGTCTCACAGACCATGCTGGAACCAAATCAGCCGGTTGCATCAGCTCAGGAAAAGACAGAGACTCCTGAACTAACCACTGAGCCCAGGAGAACTTTTGAGCAGGTAAAATGGGCTTTCTGTGCCTCCACGGAGCCTCAGGCTCCTCTGGAGCACAGCACGTTTGCCCAGGCAATGCTTTGCAGTGCCCTGCTTGTTTCCTTGCCTCTCCCTTTCCCTGCTGTGGGCACAGCCTTTTGTTCTGTCTCTTGCGGCAGCCCATGGCTTTCTCAAAGGTGCCTTCACTGCACTGTCTCCCTCCCTGGCCCCGTGTCCCTGGACACACCCTGGCCTCTCTTGTGCAGCCCCCAGCGAGAACTTTTTGCCCCCAGTGTTGTCTGGTGCAATTCAGGATCTCAGAGCAGAGATCTTGCATTGATGTCCAGAGGTTCTTTTGCCCCATGTTTGCTGACGGATTTCTGTGGCCCTTTCTCCCATCCAATGTGCAGGTGGAACCTGAGGGGAGAGGAATCGGAATTTTTAGGAGAATGTTCCCACCACACTCTCTTAGGTCGCGTGTCCCCAAGTCTGACCAGCAAAATACCTTGACTTCTCAAAGAGAAGAGTTCTCCAGCAGCTCAGGGGAGCAGCAGTAGCCCTCCTGCTGATGCACAGCCTGTGGAGCAAGGGGTCAGTGGCCCAAATGTGTCCTTTGGAAATGAGAGTTGGGTTCCTCACTGCTGTTGGAACTCGCTCTGCTAGACCTGTGGGGGCTGAGGGATGTACGTGGGAAGGGTTTGGCAGCCTTGGAATGGACTTGTTGATCATCTGAGCTCTGTTCAGGGCCAGTCTGGGAGCCTGTTCCTTTCCCCTTCCCCGAGGGCAGAGTGTTGGTGAGGGCTGCAGTTGGAGGCTGTGTCTGCCCTGACAGCCGGTACCGTGGGGCTGTGGATGCTGCTGCCAGCGTGGGCTTGTCTGAGCCGGGCCTTGTGCCTCTTTCAGGTGTCCCTGCTGCAGTCACAGCTGGCCCGAGACCGACAGCACCACCTGGAGAGCTGTGCAGGGAGCAGGCACGAGACACTCCCGTCGAGTCACAGGGAGCAGAAGGGATCTCCTTGCTTCCTAAACTTCTCAGAGAGGAGCCAGAATGCAGCTGGATGTAGAATTAGCCTTAGAATTTGTCAGTAGTTTATGTTTAAAGGATAGTTATAGGTGTAAGTGAACTTTATACAACAGTGTTCCATAGGATGTAGGATGTATTTATAGACAAATAAAGAGGTTGTTATGATCACGATTAAACTAAAAGATCTTTATCAGAATTACTTACTACCCAGTACAGGGTATATAATTATATATACCTTCCAAAGATAGATAGATATAGATATATAGATATATATATAGATATATATATAGATAGATAGATAGATAGATAGATAGATAGATAGATAGATAGATAGCTATATATAAAACTTCCAGTATAGTGCATTGTATTTGAAGGAGCTTTGAAGCAATTCTATTCAAGCCCGGAAAACCAATTCTGAATTAGAGATTGATCACCCAGACCAATGATCGTGGGCAAAGATTTCTCTCAGCCTCAAGGAGTGACACTGAGGGACATGATCACTCCAGGGAGGAATCTGCAGAAGGGAGACATGTGCCATAATCCACTTTGGTGAGGTCAGGAGAACCCTGCCATGTGTGGAGCTTTTTCATTTGTCCTTAGGAAACTGCAACCTGCTTTATTCTGAGAGTCACAGAATCTCAGGCTGGGTGAGCTTGGAGGCACTTCTGGAGGTCACCTTGGGTCATTGTAGAGACAGACACACAACACACACCCACCCACCTACCCACACTTGAGTAGAGACAACAACGGCTCCTCTTTATTACATTATCTCAAGTTTACGCCCTTAACAAAACGTGCTCTGAAGTCATTAGTTACATCGAAACAGCTCATTATATTCATTGGACAAAGCAATAGCTCATTGTATTTTATTGGTACAAAGCAATTGATGTCAATAATTAATTGGCAAGAGCTTACAACAGATTATTAAGGCACATATGCTCTCCTAAGGCATAACTGTCCCCTAACTGCAAATATCCCTTATGTATCTAATTTATTGGTTTGCATGCTAAAGGCCTTGCTTTCTTCCTTGCTATGGATAAACTTGTATTTTATCAATTTCTTCTTCTGCTAACCCAATTGATGAGCCTGCAGACCAGCTGCTAAGTCCAGCCACACTTCTCCCTTTTTGTATTTGAGCTACAAACACAGCTGTCAAGGGTTTTTGCAGGGCCCTTTGCTAAAATCCAAGCAGGCAGGGGAGACACAAAGCAATAATTACAATCACTAACGAGATTAGCAGTCCAGTCTTCAACAAAGATCCAAGCCACCCCGTGATGGCCCAGCCCTTGAAAAGATCATCTATCCGTCCTTCATTCACGTGTAATTAACTCTCAAGTTTGCAGTGCTTTTGTAGATTGATTCACTGTGATCTGATAAATTCATACAACACATTCCTTCAAAATCCTGACACCCATGACCATGTGCCAATAACAGAAAATCATAGTGGCTCCATTCTGCAAAGTGGCATGTCTAATGCTATCTACATCCATTAATAACCCACTTAAAGCTACAGATGTGTCATTGCTTTGTTTGGCTAGCCAACAACCAAGTCTATGTGTCGAGGTTAAAGTGTGAGCTGCAGCCACTCCAGGTGCCAGAACAGATGCAGAAATAACAGAACCAGGTCCCCAAAAGGCCACAGCATCCTGACACTGAGAAGTAAATGTGTGTCAAAGTGATCATGTTCTTCTTACCTCTTGATCTATCATTGTTCTGTTGGGTGTCAATAAGGTCAATCGCCCCAACCTGCAGGGACCTCCTGTTACTTTACTTGGAATACCAAACCAAGCACGATCACCACAGATTAAAAACACACCCTTTGGCAGCTGCAAAGGCACATGAGAGGCACGTGATGTACAGCATGAGGTAGAGTTACACCATCAGCTTGCATTTCTATATACGTCTAAGGCTGCATTTACATTCGGAGGTAACCCCCTTGTGGTCTTGTCTTTGTCCCTGTAACTAGACATTACACAAGCATCCATTTGCAATGATCCTAGCAATTCTAGCATGGCTTTTCAGGATTGGCGATTGCTAAACACAGCGTATCCTGATGTACGGCTTTAGCCAGTGTCACTCACACGTTCCGTTTTGGCTGCGGAGCCATCCATCCTGTTCCTTCCTGTGTGCTCCAAAGAAGGCTTGACACAATGAGCAGGAATCCAGCGTGGTCCGTTTTCTGTGCAAACACAAGTATAACCCTTTCCCCAGGTTATTAAATCTACAGCACCACTCCATTGGCCACTTACCAAATCCCTCTCTGCTATAATTTCTATGTCCCCTGCTTCTCTGTTACCACTGTCCGCCCAGCTGCAGCCAGGGAAACAGGGGAGATAGTATAGCATAGAAAAGAAGAACTTAAAAACGAGGCCCTTTCCCTTAGCTGAGATGCAAGTGCAGCATTATTTCTTGGGGTCCCGTGGAGAAGAGCAGGAGGGAAAGAGCAAGAGCTATCGATAAGCACCCCTTCTTGAAGGCAGGGGGAAGAGGCTGCCTTACATTCACACAACCAATAAGGGGAACTGGGGAGAAAGAGATAAGGGAAAGAAGCTTACAATTCTACATTTCTGGGGGTACATTCTTTGCATCATACCATCCTTTCTAACTGCATTGCAACACCTCACCTGCACCCGAGCAGGCTTTTGCAACTCGGATTTTGAAATCAAAGTAGAGAAATGAGGAAATAAAGGAGGGCAAGAAGTTTTCTCCCTGTAGGATAAAACGTTTAACACATAAACTGCTTTGTGCAGTCGTGCCTGGGGGGTTTCTCCTTGCATTCCCCTTTTTTCTTTTTGAAGCTGATGCTTCAGAGTGCCATAGGCATGTTCAACAATAGCTGGTCCAGCAGAAGAATGAAGAATACCTGTATCATATACAATTCCCCATGCAGCCAAAAAATCTTGTGTTTTCTGAGATATATATAACAAGATCCATTATCAGTTTTTATTTTTGGAGGTACTCCTAGAATTGCAAATGCTCTTTGAAAATGACAAATAACATCCAAAGCTTTTTCTCCTGCATGTGCAGTTGCTACAATAGCAAAGTGAGAAAAGTATCAATAAATAGACATGTACATGCTTTAGTCTCCCAAACTCATCAGTCTGAGTGTCACGATCCGCAAGGTGGGATTCGTGATGTGGTTCTTTCATTCGATCTCAGTGTACAGAAGATTATCAGGGACTTAAACCAAGGACTTAAACAGCAAAACACACTTTATTGAGTGCTCATCAGCACTAACATGCGATAGAGGGAAAAGAGGAGAAAGCAAAGCATAAGAAAAAGAGAGTAAGGGGATTATAGTTACCAACGTCGAAGTCCACTCGGCCGTCCAAAGACGCAGAGTCTTCTGTCTGTTGGGGAGATCTCAAAGGAAGGTAAATTTGGGGTGTGATTTTCTAGTCTTTTACAAAGCGAGGGGCACAGGGCCAAAACCAGAGGAGATTGATGATGAATTCCATTGCGCAGGGGGAAGGTGTAGGGTCCAGAGCAAACCACGTCTTGCAAGCCTTTGCTCACCAGCAGGAACGAGGGCAGTGTACCGTGCAACCACCTGCAAACAATCACTTAGCAAACATCCACCTCAGCTAGGCCCAAACCCCTAAGCCAAGTCCCTTGCGATATTCAGGATCTCAGTCTCTGTCCTTGAGACGGTTGTGAGACAGGTGAGAGAATGTTCGGACCGTCTGTTGTGACGTTGTGACTGTGAGTTGTGTCTGTCTGCCAAAGTTGCAACGCTTGCAACCCTCTGGGCTTGGTCCCATAATACATAGGAACACGTGAACCGTGACTGTCAGGGCATACAACAAATCATTGAACGAGCGTCATTGTTACTAAGACCAAATTGTCGTGGTAATGCTTGAAAACCTTGATGGTCAAATGGATAAGATACCTTGTTGCCTGTGGTGAGGAACCATTAAGGCAACATTGGCAACAATGATCATCAAGAGCATCAGCATTTCCTTCAGTGAAAAACCCCGGGAGAGAAGTGTGACTGTGAATATGCATCACAAAATATGATTCAGTGCGTTGCTGAATTGTATCCCACAATTCCACCAACACATCAAATAAAGGTGGGTGATCAATTTCAGATAAAACAACTTGATCTAATTTTCCAGTCAAATTTGCTACATAGGCAGAATCTGTCACAATATTTACAGCTTGAGGGAACAATTGAAATGCAGTGGCCGTGGCTTTCAGTTCAACAATTTGCAGTGAACCAGTTTGATATTTTACCACAGGTTGCCAATTACCATTGATTTTCAATGCAACTGCAGTTTTTTCTGTTTTTCCAGAGCCATCTGTAAAAACACCGGGTCCATCTACAGGGCTTTCCATACTTAACTGCTTTTGGCCAACTGGTACTTGCTGAAAAAATTTCAGTGAAGAGTGACTTGGTAAATGGTAAGACACCTGCCCTGTAAAAGCAGCCATAGCAGCTTGTAATGTAAGCCTAGCAGCTTGTAAGTTATCACAGCTTGCCAGTAACTGTTGGCACAACACCACTCAAAGTACCAGTTCTGAAGAGGCAAAACAATTCTTTCAGGATCTTGACCAGTCAATCCAACACATTTCAAAACAAATAATCGTACTATTTGTGCCAATAGCTCAATGCGAGAGACAAATTTCTCAAGCAAAGCTTTGACAACCAATTCAGGAACAAAAAGGGCTTCTGGGGTCAACTCACGGGTATCAGTAGTGTTTTCTGACCCCTTTAACATTTCTAAATGTGGTTGCAATTGTGAATTGGTAAGTCCCAAATAAGGTCTTATCCAATTAATTGATTGCCAGGGCTTTCATTTCTTCACGCGGGAACAGGAACGACACAGCACCAATATGATGATTGGATCGTTCATTTATTCTCTAAGTTTGGGTACATTTATACTGTACACAAATCTACACACAAGTATTTCTTCTACAATCGACTGCATGTGTGTTGTTCGTTGTCACTTAATTGTAAAAAGTAAGCAGGGAACAGAAACTAAGTGTAAAACTAAGTCACAGAGGCTTCTCACTCACGCCTGAGAAAGCATGAGAAAGCCCTTGGTAAAGGACAACAATCTACAGGTGTTGTTTAGGCAAGGGGCGGTGTTCCACTTAACCAATGATGGTGGGTATGTTGCTTTAATGGCCAAGGAGAGTTTTACCTCTCAGACCTTCTCGAACATGTGTAT